AGGGGCTCGGCTTGGGTCTTGGCGCGGCCTGCCCGTGGTCGTGCGGTCTCCCGTGCCGCTCGCCGGCGGGCTTCCCACCGTCGCCGTGTCCTTCCCGGCCAGGGTTGACCGCCGGCCGGACCTCCTCTACTCCTCTGTCTGAAGAAGATGAAGTGAAGGGTATAAATCCAAGCAAAATTTTTATACAAGGTCTTTACTGCGAAATACGTGACTCATTTAAATAGGACTCTGGACTGCAGTTAAATTCATGAAAACGTAGGGTCCTTATTGCATAAATCGCTAGGCCGGTTTTGGGGCAGGCCGCGCGTGGGCCGGCTTGCTGGGCTACTTGCGTCCGCGCGTTGGGCCGACCGGTCGCCGCTGGCCGCGCCCCGCCTGGGCCTCTGGCTGGTCTGCTCTCATGGGCCGGACTCCCCGCTGGGCCGTGTGCCGCTCCCGCGCCTGGGCTGGCCTGTGGCCGCCGTAGCTGGGCTGCTCGCGCTGCGTGCCCCGCCCCACCTAGGCTGCTTGCTCGCTAGACCAGGCCGAGCTGGTCTGCTTTGGGCCGAAGGAGCTTTATTTTCCTTTTTCGGTGTTTTGTTAATTTCAACAAACGTCTGAATACTTAGAAATTGATAATAAAATGTAGGAAAATCATAAAAATGCCAAACAAATTTTGATAAGTTTCTAAAATCATGATCTACCTGTTAGTATATTTTGTTCATATAGTTTGATAATATTCTTGGAAGCTATATAATTAATTTAAGATACTTAATATTGTAAAAATATAAACTTATAGGAATTGTAGTGATAAATTGGTAATATTGTTGAATCTAAAATTTATACAGTAGGCTCATAGCAATATTAGGTACTCATTGTAATTTCTGTAGTACCAGAATAATTAGTTTGCTAAATAGATAATGATGCCCTATTCCTTATAAAGATTAAATGGATAGAATGGGATAAAGAAACAACTTGGGTTTATATAACTAGAACAATTGTTGAGAAATAACGTCTTATCTTATTCGACAACATGGATACGTAGACCAACGTTAGAGCTATCTCGTTAGCTTGTGAGGCGTAATCGGATTTCTAAGCATTCGGCTGTCGTTGATTATTTACATCTATGCATTTGTATCAATGCATATCATATAGGTACGATGATGGATCAACGGATCAAGTGAAGGATGAGTGGGAATCTGCAGATGGTGTAACGGTATTCTCTCCAGGAGATGATGCAATGGGCTTTCTATCCAGTTGATGGTGGATGATCTGAAGATGTAGATACTAACTTTTAATATATATCTTACCCAGGCAAGCCTCGATGTATAACCCCTACTTTTCTGCAGTTTAATTTATATTTGTGCATTAAGTTTTAAGGAGTTGAATAAAACCCACTTGCATATATATATATATATCTTTATCTTATGAGTCTTACTGGTATGACAGGATCGGGTAGATTGCTATGCTACAGGAACCGGTAGAAGTCGAGTGATTGTCTATCACTCGCGAGATATAGGAAATATGTTACTATATTATTATCACTTGGAAAATATAAATGGTGGAAAGAAAATTGGTGACCGGGCAGGGATATGGTTTGGGTATTGGTGGGTGTAAGAGGTTGTGTCGCCGTGGATGCGGGGCATGGCCTGGTTACACTGCTTTCCATGTCTGGTCGGTTAAGGACCGGCTGTTGCATAAGACTCGAGGCAAGTCACATACTTATTATCCCGAGCACATACTTGGGTATGGGCGCTTGGAAGACTTATTGCTCCCTTATCGTAGGTTCCGGCTCTTTCCGGACCGACTGTCAGGGTTTCTTTTTGGTGGAGGAGGTCCTTGCACCGCACTGAGTCTGGGACTCAGGGGCGGGGGCTTGGAGTCCCAGTTTGAACGGGGACCTAGGAACCTAGGACAGGAGGGTGATAGGTTGGTCCTGCTTGTGCCTTGGGTACAAGCGGGGAGTTTGTTTTCGGGGTACCCAGCTGGAGGCATTGATTTGTGAATCGTCGGGCGATCCGGTATGACTTGTTTTGTGCCTAGCACCGTAGTAAGAACTGAAAGATGAAAGATGAAAAAAGGAACTCTGATTGCTTACCACCTGCTTGAAAGTAGCACAGGTGCTTACATAGAATGGTTAGTTAATGAACCAATGCGGCTACTAATAAAAATCGAATATAAGGACGCACGTTTAGTAATGCTTCCTGTAAATGCAATAAACCCACAAGCCAGATAGCTTTGCATATCCTTGGATTCTTTTCTTTTCTCCTGTCGGGTAAGTCTTGCTGAGTATAATTGAGTACTCAGGGTTTTATTCCTCCTGTTGCAGGTTACAGGTGGATGCTAGAGCTGACCCTTGTGTGTGGATACCTCCTGGTGGGCTCAGCGATGATTCATTTACGCTGCGATCGTAGTTGTTATTTATAACTCTCACCAAATGTTTTTATAAATGAAAGTTTCATAATCTGTTGTCTTAGTTTATATATCAATACTTCATCATGTCATGATTAGATATTTATTTCCGCTGTAATTCTGATCACATGTTTATATTCCGCTGTTCAATTAAGTTGTTTATAACTCTGATAATATGATTACATTCCGTTGTTATAATAATAAATATTATACTCTGATGTTGTATTAAAAGTGATATAAGAAATTGTTAAGAATGATGTAAGCTTTATCCTCTCATTTGTGATCCTGATATAAAAATGTGGATTTTCGGGTTCTCCCCTGAGGGGTGCCCGACGAAACCGAGTAATTTAGTGTTCTCCCCTGGATGCTTAGTGTTTAATGGAAGACGAGCACTCCTAGGAGACATTAGATTAGGTGGTTCCGCCACACTAGGAATGGTGATGTCTTTGTACCTTGGTTCTCCATTATATTAGATGTTTATGGCATCGGTAGATGTTGTTCCTCTCCCTAAAGGATCCACTGTGAAATCAAATGTTCGTCCTTCACTGGCTACAAAGCTTTTCGTGCGCCATGTATTTGTTATGGTGGTTGCAAGGTTTCGGGATTCAAAACTAAAAAATTTCAGGCGCTACCGAATTGGATGAAATTCGAAAATTTTGGGCCGGGATTCAACCAAGTTGACCGGTCAAAAACCGTCGGCGAATCACGGCCGCTACTGCCGAACCCACTGTGCACTCCATTTGACAGCATTTGAAACTCCATGGACAGGGATTGTAGCCAAGTCTAAACTGTTGGATTTGAGGAAGAGATGGTGGAGGGCAACCGGAAAGAATGGCAATGGGGAGGAGCGACCGAGAGCCTGATCTTGTGTTCGCTTGCGTAGTCACCGCCAGGTGAGAAAGCAAAGGAAAAAAATGAAAAAACTAGGGTTTCTAGAATGGGCTTCGCATTTTTATACTGGGTAAGATATTATTGGGCTTTTGTACTCTATGCTGGGCTGGAAATTTAAATTGAGCCAAAATTATTTGGCCAATTTGATTTTTCTCGAGCCTCACAGAATTGGACAAAATTCGGTGAGATTCTGGACATTCGGACAAATGAACCTCCTGGTTGTTTTGCTGTCACCTTCTTTTTGTGGGTATCAGATTTTTTTATTTGTTTTTGCTAAAAAAAATCAGATTTTCTTTTTATAGATTTGTACGTTTTTTTTCTCTATTGATGTATATATCTGGCGTGCTCTTATTGTTGGCTTTTGAAAAAAAAAGTTTAAATAAGTGGACCACTAAGATTTATTTCGTGAAGAATTTGAGAATTTTTTTTATTATTATAGATCCACGCCGCAAGCCGTATCGGCCCGCCTAGCCGGCTCTGTCTCCCTCTCCACTCTCGGCCGCCGCATCGCCGCGTGCCCTCTCGGCGGCCCTCCCGCTACGCCGCGAGGTCCGACGCCGACCTCGCCTCCCTGGCGAGATCCGCCGTCCTCCTTTTTGACGCTCCGATCCCCACTACCCTCGACTCCTCGAGGCGGACGAGGAAGAGCGCCAGCAGGACAACAAGGCGCCAGCGGGCCTCGGTCGCCTCCTCGACGGCCGCAACGGCAACAGCCACGGCGGCACCTGGAGATGCTCTAACGGAAAAAAAAAACGTTTCGTTTGGCGCTTTCATGTCGGCCACCGCCGCCGACGAGGCCATCCGTCGTGTCCTCCTCACAGGCGTCAGCCCCAGCAGCCACCTCCCACTGCTCACCGTCAAGCTCATCCACGGCCGCCTCCTCCGCCTGCAGTGGCGGAGCCAGGGGGGCTGGCAGGGGCCATGGCCCCTCCCAATATTTCACAACAAAAAAATTTAGTAATATGATTTAATATTTTTTATTTATATTAAGAGGAAGATTATATAAAATTTTTATCATATATACCTATTAATATCTTCTAGATAATATAATCATATAAAACACAACTTTGCTTGTCACAAGGAACCTAATGAGTTGAGTTGCACTTAATTTTTACATGTTGGCTTTTTTGGCTGGCCCCCCTGAATATAATTCCTGACAGCCGGCCCCCTGAGCATAATTCTTGGCTCCGCCACTGCCGCCTGGACCTCCTCACCGACCTATCGCAGCTCCTTCTCCGCGCCGTTTCTTCCTGCGGCCTGCACCTCCACGCCCTCCGCCTCCACTCCCTCCTTCCCAACCCCTCCCACCTCACCTTCCCCTTCGCGATCAAGGCCGCCTCCCGGCTCCCCGGACCCGCTCTCTGCCGGCGTGCAACTCCATGCCCGCTCCCTCAAGCTCCCCTCCCACTCCAACCCCCACGTCCTCACCTCTCTCCTCAACCTGTACGCGAAATGCGGCCGTTTGCTCGACGCCCAGAAGGCGTTCGACGAAATGCCCCACCCCAGCACCGTCTCCTGGACCGCGCTCATCACCGCGTACATGGACGCGGGGCGCGCTCAGGAAGCCGTCGGAGTTGCAAGGAGGGCGTTCGCGAGTGGCTCGAGTCGCTGATTTGGTGAATGGGGAGGCTGTGTGGAGGGTGGCAGAGCAGGAGGGGATTTCTGGGAACGTGTTTGTGGCAACTGCAGCGTTGGACTTGTATGTCAAGTGTGGGGAAATGGACAAGGCTAGGGAAGTGTTTGACAAGATGAAGAGCAAGGATGTGGTGGCTTGGGCCGCAATGGTTGGGGGATACGCCTCCAATAGGCATCCCCAGGAGGCTCTGGAACTGTTCTTCGCAATGCAGGTGGAGGGAATAAGACCAGATTGTTATACAGTGGCTGGGGCGCTCTCAGCATGCACAAGGTTAGGTGCATTGGATTTGGGACGGAGAGTAGTTGGGATGCTGCACTGGGATGAGGTTCTTGACAACCCTGTCCTGGGTACTGCACTGATTGATATGTATGCCAAGTGCGGGAACACAGGTGAGGCGTGGATGGTGTTCCAGCAGATGAGGAAGAGAGATATCATTGTTTGGAATGCAATGATCTTGGGGCTCGGCATGACTGGCCACGAGAAGATTGCCTTTGCGCTTGTTGGCCAGATGAAAAAGTCAGGCATGACACTGAATGATAATACCTTCATGGGATTGCTCTGCAGCTGTACACATAGTGGCCTTGTAAAAGATGGGCAGCGCTATTTTCGTAACATAAGTCAGTTGTACCACATAAGCCCTAAGATTGAGCATTATGGTTGTATGGTTGACCTGCTCAGTCGTGCGGGGTTGCTGGAGGAGGCTCATCAGTTAATTGAAGACATGCCAATGGAGGCAAATGCTGTTGTATGGGGAGCACTCCTTGGTGGTTGCAAGATCCATCGGAACGCTGACCTTGCTGAACATGTGTTGAAGCAGCTCATTCGATTGGAGCCATGGAATTCTGGAAATTATGTCATGCTTTCTAACATATACTCTAACAGTGGAAGATGCTGCAAAGCTCATGTTGGAAATGAAGGCAAAGGGGATTGAGAAGGTCCCTGCATCTAGCTGGGTTGAACTTGATGGTAAGGTCCACGAGTTCCATGTTGGAGACAAATCACATCCCCTCTCAGATAAAATCTATGCAAAGCTCGATCAATTAGGCATGGAAATGAAGGCCATGGGTTATAAACCAACTACTGAGGTGGTGATGTTTGACATTGAAAATGAGGAGAAGGAACACACGCTTGTGCATCACAGTGAGAAAATTGCCATTGCATTCAGCCTCCTTACTACTGAACCAGGAGAGACCATTAGGGTCACCAAAAACCTCCGAGTTTGCAGTGACTGCCACACTGCCATCAAGCTCATATCGTGGATAACCTGTCGCGAAATTATTGTTCGAGATAACAATCGATTTCATTGCTTTAGAGATGGCTATTGCTCTTGCAATGACTATTGGTAGTATACAGATGGTTTCTTTTTGCAATATTGGACAGTATCTAGAGTTGGAGCATCTGCATTTTCATCTGATGTAAAACTGTAGTCAGCTAGAGCTGGGACTGGAGCATAGTTACTAGCACAATGCATGGCAGATTGGTATGTAGTTCCCTTTCCATTCATTTCGTTGAAAGGAATTGATAGTTTTCTGATTTCTGCTCTTGTATTTTATTTGTAATCTACTTCAGAAATTAAAATGGCCAAGATACTGCTTAATTTTATGCTTTCCCCTCTCTGTTTGTGTCAGATTGTGAATAAAGGGCTTAGGCATCGTAAATGGTTTTATATTAAATACATTTTATTTCTCAAGGGTGTTGCCACCCATTGAACTGCGATTTTTTTAAAACTATATTGCCTGTTTTATATTCTTTTACTCCAAAACCAATGCCATTTCACATGTCAAGTTTCTACAATGTGTGTTGCTTTCAGATGCTGGTATTTCAGACATTTGGTTTCTATAGGGTTGGTTCATTGGTTGTAATGGCATGAATTAGTTCATCATTCTTGTTACAAATTCACCACTTGGTTCTTGTGGACTACAAGTCATCGGTACATTATCATTGCAGAAGAGAGAACCTCCAATAAGGTGTTTTCCCTTTCTACAAACATCAACTGTACATTTTGGCTTTTGGTTACTGATACACATTCATTTGCAGCAAGCTACTTAAGAACCTCAGTACCAAACTACGTGGCTGTCAGATCCCTGAGAGCTCGAAAGCTCCATCAGTAAACCTGAATGGCACTGTGTCTTGCATATCGCTTGTTTCTTCTCCAATCCCATGGCTTCTGAGGGGGCTTCTTTGATGCCCAGAGTCCTAGGCCTGTAGATTTTGCCTCTTTCTGCCACTGCACAGTAAAAAATTCAAAATGTAAGTGAAAAACTTCTGTCGGCATAACCATATGTCCTGTAAGCCATCGTATCTAGATATAGTTCTCAGTTTGGATGACCATGCATGATATCGTATAGCCCTTGTTTAGCTATTGTTCGACCCATGTTCCCAGAAAATTTGATAAGCGTGGCTCAAGGATATTCAGATAGAAAAGAATACTCTAGGTTCCTCAGAGTGCCTTTAAACCCACAAATGCATTTAGGTATGGGGAAATTTCTTAACGTTTTCAAACTCTGGGCGTTTGTCGTACTTCTTGAAATGATGAACATGACCACACTTCAGCATTTGCTCCTACATGACTCAAGAGACACACAATAATACTAATTAATAACCAAAGCAGTAAAATCAATCAGAAGACATGAGCTACTAAATAGTTTTTTTTTTAGAAAAAGAAGTTTCTGTTTTACCTGGATAAACATGTTATCACAATAGATGTCACCCACGTAGCGTCCAAATTGGTCTTGCTCATAAACATAAATTGTGACACTTTTCCCACCAATGAGCTTCATTAATTCTTTCCTTGCTTCCTTTCCATACGGCATCTTAAGCTCCGGTGCATCAATGCCCCTATAACTCATGGATATGAACTCGGAACAGTACTTCCAGTTGTTATTAGATGTAGGTGCAATTTTTAGAGCAACATATATACCTCATTCGGATTCTATATTTCCTTGCAAGGATCTCTTCGCCTAAAATGATTATTACCCTGCTCAGTAAAATTGTTGTAAGTCATGCTTCCAGTGATTTCAAATAAACCATGTATACGAGTAGGATCACAATGATGTAACTTTGGCCAGCATTTTCATCATATTATAGCTCTTCTTCCTTTTTTTTCTTTTTGGTTTGCAATAGTTCATTTAATGCGTAAACTGCATAGTGCATGATTCCAATCATTTTTTTAGATATGCTATTATTGTATTTTTTTGTGAATTAAGCTCCATCAGTAAACCTGAATGGTACTGTGTCTTGCATTTAATTCTGTAGTTTTTATGAGCTTATGATCTATAAAAAATTCGAAGGTAATCTACAATAGCAGTTCTAGTAGTATTTTATCCAACTTCTACTGAAATTTGAAACAAAATAAGTACTGTGCTAAATAAATTTATGATAAATAAATAAATAAGTACTGTGCCTCTCATTTGAAGAGGGCTGAAGCCGGAACCTTAATTCCATTATTATTAAAAAAATGAGCGGTAAGTGGTGGACAAGAAAAAGAAACAAGACTAGGAGGTCTTAAGACCTTCGTTCAGTGAGGGTGGCTATTGACTTGATGACCATTATTCCTTGAGTCGTCTTGTGTTCTTTAGATTACATAGCCTTGCAATTACTATTATTAGTAGTATAACTATTGCAATTTTTGAGTAGCATGGAGAGTTGGAAGCATCTCCATGTAGAATCCTACTCTATCTGTTCTAATTTATAGGTCGTTTTGGCTTTTCTAGACACAACTTTTATTACATATCTAGACATATGGTATATCTAGGATTCTAGGTGCATAGCAAAAGCAATGTATCTAGGAAAGCCAAAATAACCTATAATTTTGAACAGAGGGTGGTAGTTAGCTAGAGTTGTGATTGGAGCATAGGAGAGGCAGAGTATAAGCCATTAGATCTACACGTTGATATCACAGTATCACACACAGTTCTTCTCCCACACCCTATCCTTTTCTGCTGAAATGAGGAGGTAGTGTCCTGTTTGTGTTGGTGCTCTTTTTTTTTTTAATCTGTAATGGACTTCAGAATGAAAATGGCTAAATGCCGCTCAATTTTCTAGTTTACTCCATCCATTCAGATGTCAGATTTGTTTTTTTTTTAAATAGTATCAGAACGGCATATTGAATAAGTTTTGTAGCTAAATTATTCTAAGAAAGTTATGGCAAAGAGCTGAAGAATTTTTTTGTTCATAGCATAGGTGCAGTGGTAGGAGCAAGTGAATATATAGGACGAGTAGAATAGAACGACGTGAGAAGGAAAAGGAAGAAGGAAAAGAAGAGTGGCTGGGGCTGGGAGACGGTGCCTGTCACACTCACACTCGAGCTAGCGCTGGCTCCATGAGGAGGGAGAGGAATCCATCATCCATGGATAGATCACCAGACGGACCGGAGCCCATTCTTCTCCAACACAGGTCGTCTGTGACGTAAGCTCTTACATGTGTATGCAATCGCACACTGACGTTGATTACTGCCACTTCAGGTTCAGGTTCAGGTTCCTCGATCCCAACACACCAGTATAAATTCTGGGACGAACAAGCTCGTGTCACCGAACATTCTGAAGCAGTAGAGAGAGCAGAAGAACCATACATACCATCTCGGCATCTCATCTCGCCATGGCTGCTGCTGCTCCGGTAGTGTCGCCGCCGGTGGTGGTGCCGCGCATGAAGCTGGGGTCGCAGGGGCTCGAGGTCTCGGCGCTGGGCCTGGGCTGCATGGGCATGTCCTTCGCCTACGGCCCGCCCAAGCCGGAGCCGGACATGGTGAGGCTCATCCACCACGCCGTCGCCGCCGGCGTCACCTTCCTCGACACCTCCGACACACCAACGAGCTCCTCCTGGGCAAGGCGCTGCAGCTGCAGGCCGCCTCCGGCGCCGGCGGCGGGGTTATCAGGGACAAGGTGCAGCTCCTGGCCACCAAGTTCGGCATCTTGTACGTCGACGGCAAGCACGAGTTCCACGGCGACCCGGCGTACGTGCGGGCGGCGTGCGAGGGCAGCCTCCGGCGGCTCGGCGTCGACTGCATCGATCTCTACTACCAACACCTAATAATACTACAGAACGGCGCTAGAGCCCGTTCTTTCTAGGGTGTTGTTACAGAGGGTGTCTCTGTAGGGGCGGTTTTCTGACCGTCCTTGTAGTTTCCTTTGTAGGGGCGGCTGGTGTTTTCAGCCGCCCCTACAGTTTTATCTGTAAGGGCGGCTGGTAATATCAGCCGCCCCTGTAATGGATTTCTGTAAGGGCGGCTGTATCACCAGCCGCCTCTGCTGTGTGTATTTGTAAGGGCGGTTCAATCAAGAACCGCCCCTACAGTGGATTTTTTAGAAAAAAATAAATAATTTAAATTCAATATATATATATATATAATTTAAATTCGAATCTGATCGTCACAAATATACATATATACATCCACAAACATAAGACCATTATATAGAACATAATCACAAGTCATAATTCATAAAAGTCCATCATGCAAAACAAAGTCCAAACCGTTTCAAAGTCTGATCCAAACCATACCACAAGTCCACATTGTCATCAACGACCTAGGGCTAGCCTATCAGTCTCCCGAAGGTGTTGGTATAGAGGATTACTACCTAAGTCGAAAAGAAGATGATGGTAAGTGCCTTTATGGTATACAATCTGGTACATTATAAAGTTGCAAAGGTCGCCGACCATCTCTAAGAGCTCGTCATCCTTGTATGGGTTTCTTCTCATGTCTTTATCTTTCTCCAACTACAAGAGAACAAGTTTAGGTTTACTATATCACAACATATGCGAACTTTTTATACTACGAGCGAAGAGGTTCAAACTTACCAGATTGGGGTTCTGTTGTAGCCACCGATGGTACTCATCATAATACATGTGTAGTATCCACAATGTAGACTCCCAGACTTCTGCTTGGGGCACTATGCGTTTTGCATATGGAGATGTTAAGTAGTGCTATTGACAGACACGTAATATATGGAGTACCAAAGTAAATGACACTTACCGCACATAGAGTTTTGACATACAACTTTTCCTTCCTATTTGGATGATGCCTCCCCTTATGTTCCTGGACATAGTGCCTGAATGCCCTGTTCCAATGATTTTAACAAATACAACTTGTTAGTATCCCACATTGAACCTTACAAGTATGTATACAAACATAGTAGCTAAAATGAGGATTGTCAATATGTATACGTCTTGACAATCGCTATGAAGTCTTTATATGTCTCGACTGGGAAATCCGCTGAATTAAAGACCCATGCCATACTATGTGAGAGCCAGACGTCTATGCAAATCCAGTGATCGCTGCATGAATTTAGTCATAGAAGGAACACATAAGCTCTTTTGCATCGAACAAAGTATATTGAACAAAGCTAAGTATACAGTCGAACTTACTTGAAGTGGTATGGTATCCATATATTATCGTGTTGTTGGAGATTTTTAAAACATAGGGCAATGTATGCCGCAACCTTGAGGGACTCTTCCAATATTTTCTTGTTCCTGATGTCCTCTTTCTCCTTAAGTGTCTTTCCAACTCCTAGTTCTTTGCAATCTAGTTTTCCACTCTTTAGAGTAATTAAAATTTGTTGATGCTATAGGTGAAGGGTCTATATACCCATGTTTCAGAGCTGGCCTCTTTTTCATAAAGTCCGCTTGCATTCTACAAATCACGACGCGGATTAATTACAACAAAATTAAAAGATTACATTCATATCATATCGAGAGGGCAAGGACTTACAGACACCATATGCGAATTAGATTCATTTCCATTCGTCCGAGGTGGAAGTATGCATGGATATCCCTAAACTCAACGACAATTTACCCACCTGGGGCTCCAAATGTGCCGGCAGGGATCCATGCTTGTAAGATTTCTAGTTCTGTTATCTGAGCACGCAAGTACCAATCGTGGAACTTTCTCATTCCACGTGGCAAGCACTATATGACTCGGTTTGGTAGGAAGTTCTTGCCTTTTTCATATTTATTCGGGCAACCATTTGACCATTTGAGGTTATCAATAGCTGGATACTTGTTAAACCCTTTATGCAGTTTGCTAGTGGTGCCCTCCTCAGAAGCTGGTGCTCTAAATTCTTTTACTTGGTTCTTAGCCTTGAACTGGTCATGGGCCATCCACTTGTACACCGACGAGACATCATTAAGGCCCACATACGATGGCCTTATCTTGATTGGGATTTTGTTTTGAGCTTCCCATTCGGGCACGTCCTTGTCAACTTGTGCATCACCTGCTCCAGGGGCCACTTGTTCTTCACGTATCGGTTGTTCACGAGGCAATTGCTGTTCATGAGATACTTGTTGTTCATGTATCGGCTGCGCTTGTTGAGAAGGATGTTGCATCTCATCATGCCTTTGCTCGGTACGAGCTGGAGAAGGACGTGGCATGTCATCATGCCCATGCTCGATACGAGGTGGAGAAGGATGTGGCATGTCATCACGCCCTTGGTCGGTACGAGGTGGAGAAGTCTCTAGCGTATGGTGGTCATGGTCATGGGCCGGTGAGTATACCTCCCCTTCCTCGACGGGTCGCTCCAGAGGATGAACTTCAGTCGGAGTTGGCGAAGACTCGATCAATACAATGTTCCGTCTGTGCCAGAGGATGAACTGGTTCATGATGTCTCCGAGTAACACGAGCCCCTCGGGAGTAGGGTGTTCTATCTTTCAAGTCATAAACTCGGGCTTCACGGTATGCACCTCGACCCGAGTGTAGTCCTGCGGGATGCCTCTATTGTGCCACGTGCCGCCCGGAGGATGTGCCACGCCCGTTGCCACCTCAATGATCACGTTTTGCCTGCCCATCAGAACCACTAATTTACAACTGGTTGGCGCCCGTATGCGATCGACGGGGGATCCGGTTGCATTGGAACCTTGA